CGGCGTGCTTTGCACAACAGCTTCCAGCTGCGGCTCCAACCAAAGGGCAGCCAAGGCACAGGGACCACAAACCAGCAGTTGCGCTCCTGGCAATGGATTTTGGGCTGTTTATGGCAAAGAATTTCAGGCTTTTTTTCCTCCAGACTAAATGAACGCGGTGTATAGCTGCTGCTGTCCTGCTATGCAATGGATTTTGGGCTGTTTATGGCAAAGAATTTCAGGCTTTTTTTCCTCCAGACTAAATGAACGCGGTGTATAGCTGCTGCTGTCCTGCTATGGGCTAGCAGCAACACGAAGAGTGACTTGCCAGCTGGTGCAGGGTGAAACATCCCCGTTTACCACTGCAGCCCAATCCCAGGGAAGCGGCTGCAGAGCTGAAGTGCAGCCAGAGGGCCGTGGGGGCATGGGAGTGGAGGGAGGCATCTCACCTGCTCCAAGCCAGCAGCAGCACGTGAGAAAGCAGAGGTATCTTGATGGAGATACTATTGCTGTTTAATAAAAGCATCCTCCCCAGACACCTGTCACTGAAAGCACTGCTAGGGCTGCACTGGGCTGGCCTAAACAGCCAGACGCTTGCTAAGGGAAGGAAGCAAGTTTCAGCTTTTTTTTTTTTTTGCCTTTTTTTTTTAAAATAATCTAATTTTACTTCTCTGACAACAACCATGTCCTAAACTTATAGTAAGTCCCTCCTGGCCTTGAGCTAAACCAAGTGAAAAAAAAACAAAAAACAAAACCAAATCAAACCAAACCCAACTCTGTTCCCTACATCCATTGATTTAAAGTTTTCCCTTTGCACGCTCTCCCTCCTCATGCCAAAGCAGAGGGCTGCACAAGGCTCCAGGACCATCGCCCACCTGGGCTTCGGCACACACCTCCCCCCCGCCCCGCCCCTGGCAAAGCCAAGGGACCAAGCCAGGCTGGCTCAGCTGGGTACCTAAAAGGGGGCAAAGGGGGTATGCAGCTCCCCATGGCCCCACCTGTGCCTCCCCCAGCACACCAGGTGCTCCCTCCACTGCATGAACATCCCCAAACCTGCACCCTTTCTCTTCAAACCAGGTAGCCAAGGAGCAACATGCTGCTGCAGCAGCGTTCCGATGTTAACAGCATAGTTCACTTCCCCGCAGGAGGTGGGATATTTATTTTTTTGCCAGCACTTGGCTGAACCCTTGCACAGGGCTGTGGGCTGGAGACACTGCGGTGATGTTTTGAGAGGGCAAAAAGGGGTGGATTTGTAGATGGGGTGAGACCCAGCTGGGGCAGCAAAACTGTGAGACAGAGCAGGCATTGAGGGGGAGCAGTGGGGCAGGAGGGCAAAAGGCCAAGGGGAGCCTGGGACATGCACCCAGCACAGTAGTCACTCCCTTAACCACAAAAGTACGAAACTAAAGAGGGAGGACTTCTTACCCCACCTCTATGAGCAATCAGCCTTCCCCCCACTGCCAGCACCTGGCTGGTGGTGGGTGCAGGAGCAGCCTCCCACCCCACATGGGGCTGGGACCCAACCCTGGTTTCTACCCAGCCGCTTAACCCACTCCATGAGGCTCAGGGGAAAAGTTATTTGGATCCTTCCCAGCTCCACAGCCCTCCCAGCCACAGAAAACATCTTCCCAGGAACAGGAGATACAAGCCTGATAAGCACATTTTAAAACAAGATGGGGATAGGTTTTAAAGCTGTCCTTCAGTTCAGGCTGTGTTTGAGCAGCACCAGGGTAATTTGTTATGTATGATGAGGCATTTTTATCAATTTAGTAACTCCAAAGCTGTAGTATTACAACAGTATGAAGCCTTGCCTTCTCAAATCACTTTTGCTTTTGAGCCCAAGAAAACAGCTGCTTGAAACGAAGAGGGACCGGAAGAGGAAGAATTGGGTTACAAGGAAATACATGACTTCACTTCATTGCATCACACTGTTGACAACTGCCTTTACCAGCCAAGGGCCTCCCACTTAACAGCACGTAGCAACTCCCACAGCAAAGAGCAGGATCCCGACTTCCCGTCGCCCTGCCTCTGCTGCAGGCAGCTACCACAGCAGCACGGCTGCGACCGCTGCTTCTCACTGCCATGGCCTTCCCTGCCATGGCGCCAGTTTGACCTCTCCTCCCTTGCAGGCTTGACATCACAGAGCTACAAGACTTGCCCTTTTCCTGAGAAACTGAAGGCAGCAATGTATTTTTGGCAGTATGGCCAGGAACAAAACCACTTCCCTTGGAGCTCGCTGGAGATACGAACAGAACAAAATCCTGCATCTTTGAACTGACACTTTCCTACAACAGGCTGAAGGCAGACTTCTCATCAAGACGCTCCGCCATGCAGAAAAGCAGAAGAGATTGATAGAAAGATGTAACCAACTAGTGAGGCATGTTTGCAGACACCAATTAAATATCCCAGTTAGCCTGGAGTACAGACAGGATGGCACACAATTTCCTTAAGCCATCCAACACAAGAGCCAGGCTGTGCTCACCATGCTTTTAAGATGCTGCTTTTCAAAGCAGCACCTTGTCACGTGCACAGCAGCTGCCACACAGCAGCTCCAGGCTTGTGCCCAGGGCTCCCAGCCTCAGCATGATTAGCTGAGCAGCCAGGCAGGGGGAAGAACTGTTTCCACTCCCACATCCCAGCTCCACTCAGTTTTAAACACTTGTGACTCCCTGGAAGCAGGAGCTGGGGGAATTAGGGGCTGCATGGCCATGCAAGCACTGCCCTGCCCATGCTGAACTTACTCCACTGAGAAGCAAAAGGCTCAAACTAAGGAAGTGCTTACTCCCCCCTTCCTTTACGGCTCCCAGTTTAACAAAGATGCAAGGGGAAGGGCAAGGTAACATCCTCACCCAGCCCGTTAAACAAATCCACTTCAAGGAGAGTGAGAACTGCCCCACAGTGATTTTATTTAGGCTTTGAACCTGCCTCCCTGAGCCGTTGGGTGAAGGCAGAGGAGCATTAATTTACATTGCTTAGATTACACCAAAGCTGTACCTCAGCCAGAAGCACAGCTGACTCAAGACTTCCTTGGGAACACTAAAGAAAACATGCACATGAAGTTCCCACAGAACTAAAATAGGGTGTTTAAACCAGACAAGAGCCTCCAAGATAACTGGGGCACACTCCACTCCCACCTCCACAGACAGCATCTCACTCCTCCCAGCCCGCTGCACCTATCTCAGCCCTGCAGAAGCCTTCCTCCACCTCAGCCCTCCGGCACCAGGGGCAAAACCCCAACACAAGACTGGGAGGATGCCAAAACTCTGCAGAAGCCGAGGCCTGAGGCTTTACAGATCAACAGCTAGCAAGTGGGCGATGCCCTCCCCTCCCAGGGACCTTAACCTCCTGTACCTAGAGCCACTAGTGACTTCAGTCCAAGGCAACATCCCTGGGTCAGGCACACGGCCATGTTGTCAGCAGCAGCGCACAGTGTTTGTGTTCATTCAATCCAGACTGCCACGAGGTCAGACAGGTAGAAAGCGCAAGGAACCTGTTGCTGTTGCATCTCAGCAAGAACCAGAGAAGCAATAGCTGTTTGCTCCAGGTCTGTCAAACGGATGCACTCCCTAACAAGGAACACAGCAGGAACAGAAGAGAATACTCAGGTAAGTCTCAAGCCAAGACATGCACCTGCTTTAGGATGGAACCAGCCCATTCCAACACTTCTCTCCCCAAGAAGGCAAGTACAGAAAAATCTGAAATCCTTCAACTTCTTCTCTCCCCAAGAAGGCAAGTACAGAAAAACCTGAAATCCTTCAACTTAGACAGTTCTAATTAATCTGCTCCTGAATAGCTGTCAAATACAGAGGTAGTACCACAGCCAGGCTGCGTTGGAAAATGTAATTTCACCCCCCACTCCAATTAATCTGCTCCTGAATAGCTGTCAAATACAGAGGTAGTACCACAGCCAGGCTGCGTTGGAAAATGTAGTAATTTCACTCCCCACTCCAATGTTCTCACTCCCTGGGCTCAGAGTGCTGGTGTTTACTGCTCCATCCCTCCATCCTCCTACCTTCAACTTGGAGTGACACTACAGCTGAGGAGACTCCTCGTCTGACAAAGCAGTTCAGCCAGCACTCAGCTTGAGTAGCACATATTCCATTCTGTGGGGTTTTTTAATTAACTTTGGTATCTTCCAGACATAGAAGTCTCTGTGCAATCATGAAAGATGAAGGTCCAACTCTGCTACAATGACATTTCTTGACCTTTGCCGTATTCCCCTCAGCCTGCTCCTGGACTCCAGTGCCACAGGTAGAAACCGTGTGAGGTCTGTCTGGAGACAGTCAAGTCATAGCACACTAGGACCAGGCTATACTACTTATAGTACCAAATCCTTCAACAAACAGGATTGCTGCAACCTCTCCTGCAAGTCACCCTAAGAAACACACTAGACCAAAAGGCATCACCTAGAATGGATTTAAATGAGTTTTATTTTAGACAACCTACATGACAGATGTTTGTTTTTTTCCTTTTTTTAAAACAATGCCTCCACTCCAAATCAGGGTCAAAATAAGTGAATAAAGCTCAAGATGACATCAGTCCAGTTGTTAGACATTGCCAATTCCTGGTGTTGTGCCGATGAAGAAGAAACAGCAGCCAGCTATGAAGACAGGTGATCCAAAACCATACTGTTTGATTTGTTACTGAAACAAGAGTATCAAGTGTTAGTTCAAGGTCATGACAGTCAGGAGAAGTTTCTGTAATTTATTTGTGTATTCCCTAATTCAATCTGAGCTGCCACAGTCAGGCAGACAGAAAGCGCAAGGAAGTTGTTATTGCATCTTAGTGCAAACCAGAGAGCAACAGGACAAGTGCTCATGGTCTATCAGAGGATGCTGAGCATTTCTACCATCGTGCAGAGCAACTGCCATCAGTTGCTGAGCAAGCCAGACAAGATCCTCACAGCCGTTTTGGCACACCAAGTTTCACATTTCCCTCTCAAACAGAGGCACATCCTAAACAAGTACTAAACTTACAATGTATGTGCTGTCTCTTACAAGAGCTGTACCAAGAAGCTAGAACAGGGTTGGGGTTTTTTTTGCCCACTGGAACACCTCACTACTATTCTTTTACCCCACCTCGAAGTAGATGGGGTTATCTGAATGACAGATCCAGAAGGTCTGCCCAAGTAGGGGAGGTGCACAGGAGCTTCTGCTTAGAGGAGGTACCTTCCAGGTGACTGCCTGTTCCAGGGTCCAGGACAGACGTTGCCTCCTCCAGTCAAGCTGCAGGAGGTGGTGTCTGGGCCAGAGTTCCTTTAGTGGGGCTACTGCCCCACACTACAACTTGAATCATCTTTACATGAGTTGCATACCAGAAAGCCTGTAAGAGGCTTTAGTAGATAAATTTAGCTGGCTATAAACAGGCTTCATCAGTCTGCAATGACTGGGCAAAGCAATTGGTGATCCCACACCACCAGTCTGCAGTGAATTCCCTAGCTCTCCAAATAACCCAAACCATCCAAGTGTTGGGATCCAAAGACTGTTTTGCTGCAATCACATTCCAACACAGAGTAAAGATAAAGCAGACCACAGGAGCTGCCTGAGCTCAGGCAGCTGGAGATTCAGAGAGAATAAGGTTAAGTACTTGGTCAAGTACCACCATGTTCCCATATTTAGGGCAATATTTAAACAGACAGTTCTTGCATAACAAAATAAGGGCATCAGATTAAGTTAAAGACAGAACATGAACATGTAATGTACTTCAGAATTAACCCCCCTAGAGGGATCCAAAGTAGAAGTACTCCATTTCAGAGGACACTGTCTGTAATAGTTTAAAACCATTACCAGTTACACACTTCTTTCTGCATTTCTTAGCTATTAAGTCACCATGAATCATTGCCGTGAAATGATGTCCCCTTTTAGTGTAATTGAATAGTATACAAGGGAACTTTCAGCCACTTTGTATAATACAAGCAGCAATTAGGCTACACTTAGATGGACTTTTAATTTTTTAAGCTGGCAGCTACTGTTCAACTTTAACAAGGATACAACAGAACAAGTGATGCACTGAGAGCTAATCACATAGTTAGGCACATCCACCCAATTCAGGTCAGTACTTACACATTTCTCAATCTCCAAGCCGTCCTTAAAGAAAATCATATAAGGGGTCACACCATCCTCACGGAAGTCCAGGAGAGCCACCATACCATCTGGATTCATGTTCTCTCCTACAAAGAACTTCAGAGAAATGTGTCACTGAGACATTTAATGAGCTATTACCAGGAAAAAGTGCCTTTTTAGACAAGAAAGTTGTAACATCTCCTAGTTCAGTTTAGAAGTCTTCCCGACCAGCTGCAGGGATTTTGCTTTCTGCAGTGTGTCCATTTTAGTACCACATAGCTTTACGACACTCCTATGAACAGCAGAGTAAGACACAGCAGAGGCCAAAGTGACCCATCTTTTAAGTCTTTAACTCCACTGCTCCTAAATGGTTGTAACTACAAGTGTAGTTAACAACAAGTGTTGCAAGCCAAAATGAGATCCCCAAATACTTAAGACTCTTTCACTATCTCTCCTCCCTCTCAGAGCACCTAATACTCTCAGAGAAGGGCAAGTCAGACATCTGCAGAACAGAGCCCTCAAAACTCTCCACAAGCTAGTTCAGCAGATGAACCAATTGCAGCTTACATCTCCTTACAGCAGTACTGCAGTGATACAAGTTTAATTACCTGGTAGTTTTTGAAGTTAGCAAGGATGTGTTTGATTTGTTCTGCAGCCCCTGTCATGAAAGGCTTTACTCTCTCTGGCTTGTGTTCCTCAAGTCTGGCTTTGATTCTGGAAGAGGAAAAAAGCTCTGAAAACATGTTCTAGACTAAAAACTTCACTGTGCAGCATCACATCATAACAGCAGTCAGACTGTTTGATTTTGCTGCCTTTCCCTCTCAAAGACTCCAAATTGTAACTTAACTTTGGTAGTGAATTAGCAGAACAGTGCCCAACACTCATATCAAGCTCATTTTACTTCTAAGCTAGCAGTAGACAAAAATGGTAGCAAGCCATTTCCACAGCACCAAGAGCACAATCTATCAGTATCACAAAGCATTGTCACCTTTAATACTAACCCACTGAACAGTGAGCAACAGAAATTATACCTTGAATTAGCAAAACATTCCATTCACACATATTATTTTTGGACATTTAAACTGTCAAGTTAAAAAAAGCTTCCTGAAGCTCTTCTTCACCACTTCACCCCCGTCCACATGCACATTTGGCATAGAGGAATCCAAAAGTAAACAGCAAGGTTACAAATAATATCCAAAGCACATGATCAGGTCTTCTACCTCAGCCAAGATAAACTTGATATTCCGGTATCAAATCTTTACAGCCCAAGTTTTACCAAGTATTAAGACACTACTGAAGCTCACAGCCGGTATGGGAACCTGTATCAGAACTAACACCTACTAAGAATAAAGTTCAACATTGCTTTTAAAAATCTCAGCAACCTAAAAATTTCGCAATCCCATTTAAAGAAAAAGCCTTCCCATACTCACGCTTTCATGTAGTCCTTGATGTACTTCTTGTAGGATTCTTTTGTAAAGCTGGTTTCCTGAAGGTGGTGGTTTATTACTATATCAACACCAGTTATGACCGTGGCTTCTGTTCCATCTCCCTCAGGACCTTCAGCAGAGGCATTGCCACCAATTAGAGAGTCATCAATTTGACCCTCTGTCCTGGTGACCATCTAGATTTAGAGACATCAAAAAACTTAACGGCTCTGCAAAAATCTTAATGCTACTGCTCTTACACATCTATGACCTGACAGCAGGGCATGACTTCAGAGCCACAGTTAAGTGCAAGGAACCTGACTGCAGCCCCATCACAGATTTCTTAAGCCGGGCTCCTCTCCCCTTTGGTGCCTGACCAAAGCTTCATTACATCGCCGGCGCTGCAGTCCAGCTTGGCTGCCCCGGGCCCTCTCACGCACCACTTGTGGC